AAAGTTGAATTAAGTAAGGAGAGCAGCTATTACACTCATTAGCGTGGGGAAAAAAAGTAATTAGATAACCTGTTTNTAATAAGATTTAAGAGGTTGATGAAGTTTAAAAATTGTATATTATATATAATATATTATATGTAATAATACTATTTAAAATAATATTTAACTAAAAATTTTTGTTTATTAATTTCAATCATTTTTTTAAACTAATTTATGTTTTATATAACAACATAATTAATTGTAATAATATTTATTATAATAAATATATTTTTTTTATGTCCCTAAGTCAATGTTGGGATCTTATTAAAACTGGGTGGGCCTTAGCTGCCCTATTTCCGATTATAGCTACTTCTACGAATAATTGATTTGTTTAATAAATTTAATTAATTAAAACGATTTTAATTTAAGATTATAATTTAAGTAAATATGTTTATCTAATAGGCAAGTATAATGGTTAAACCTCTCTATTGTTATAAATGATCGTCCGTTCGATATCGGGTGGTTCCTATCATCCGTTGTGAACGAACGTTTGGATCAACAGTTGTTGGCAGGGGGACGGACTAATTCCCTCCTAGCCGATTGCCGTTTCCGATACCGACGATCTGTTTGGGCATTGGCGGCGATGCCAGTATCGCTCGCCGCAATATCGGCACGTGGTTGGCGGTGCGTCCCCGTTAGTATAACCAGCTCGCTGTCGGGCCGCTGGTTGCGCGATATGCCGTGGAGGAAGTTCGGCTGACTATCGGGACGGAGCGTACAAAGGTAGCCGCGTTCTTATCTACGTCATGCGCTATCTCACGTAAGACGTTGGGTGCATCAACCGTATCATTGCGCGGTGATCGTCCCGTTAACTGTCGAACAAGTTGTTGCTCCGGTAAACCACAACGTACTCGCGGGGCCAAATGTTGTTTATGAATAATAAACTCGGTAAACGTTTGTCGGGGACCCTGTCACGTCGTTTTTAAGTCCGTCTCGAGCGCAGTTCTCATGTCGATATTGTCGAACTCCTCGAGTAATTCGGACCTAAATTCCGTTCATGGCATATTATTTAATTTTATGGTTCGCCACCAATCACCTGCCCTGTCGTTCAAAAACCGGGACGACGATGTTCACCCACGCGGTTGGGTGTATACTGTAATAATCTCCTCTGGAATATTAATAAAATCAATACCTCTTTTCTTTCTCAAACCGCAGAAAAGGATACGCTAACAGTATTACGTAAACAAATTTGACTTTTGGCAACTATAAAGTAGACATGAGTCATTGTTTTTCATTCCTTCTTCGAGGCACCACCAAAGTACTATAAAAGGAAATTTAAATACAATAACTCTTTTGCGTTTATTGAAATATATGATTGAATGTGTCTATAAAAAGTATGACGCATTCAAGACGCCCAATCTCCGTTTATGACTTCAGTGGTACATTATATAAAGGCTGAAGTCACTGTTTTTACCGTGAGTCACTCACTCATTTTTTTCACTTAATAATGTCAAGTTAAACAATTTAATGTTATTCCAAACGTATTCAAGTGTATTACTGCGAGTCTATAATATTGACTTTCTTCATTAAATTTAAATTACACATTTGTTAAAATAATTAACATTTTCAATAGTAATAAATACGCTTTTGGAACAAATGCATTTTACCACCCCATCGAGTTTTTTCAATTTTTTTTTTTTTAACGTGTGTTTTTCAATGTTATTTCAAAATTGTTTGAAAAAATTGTCGGAAAAAATTGGTTCAAAAGTTATAGCTTTTTAAAGTTGAAACGTCAAAAACTAAAAATAGCTCAAAAATTGTTTTTTTTTTGTTAATTTTTCTCATGATACTATTGTGAAACTATAATGACGTAATTATTACATAACATCCTCATTATAAAAATCCTAAAACCAAAATTAACTTTAAAAATAAGGATTTTCCAAATTTTTTTTTCAAATCTACGCACATCAAAATTACGCAATACAAAATAAAAATGGGATTTTCATAAAATTGTGATTAGGTGGTAACAAGAAACTCAATTAATTCAAGTTGAGAAAAAAAAAAAAAAAAGACCACGATGTGGTGTTTTACTTAGAATTGTTAATTCAATAAATTAATAGTTTATACTGTATATTATGTATATCAATTTACACTTGTTGAAAACAAAAAAAAATACTATTACATTAGATATTGAAATTTCAGTATTCATCTTAATACCATTTAAAATAATTGCACCTTTGTGTGTTCGTGCGCGATTTTGCACAGCAGTAATACGGTCTCTCCTTATTACTTCCTGAACTAGTAATGCATAATGATGCTTGGGTATGACAATTACAGTTGTGATAATCTTCAGCCATGTATTTAAAGTATCGACAACGCGTTGGATCAGTATAATCTTTACGACACACGACAAATTGCGTGTTACTCGATTCTAAATAACTATTAGGTTTATCCCGAATATTTACACTTAAACCACAATGACATTTGTACAAATTTCCATCATACATCCACCGGTTCATAGCGAGAAAAATAACTTAAATAGAAAAAGAATTAAGCTGTAATATATTGGTAAACTACTAAGATTAGACTGTAGATTACATCGTTTATTTTTCAATGTTATAGAAACAGTGCATCATGATCTTTGTTACCAACTGTCAAATAGAAAAACGTATTATCATAATTTAAATAATGCAAAAAATTGTATAAATAGTTAGAATTGAAACTGATACTGTATGTATAATAAGTATCAGCAATACCATTTCAGCAACAGTTTGAATTGAGCGGCGCGTCGTAAATTTTTTTATTTAAGTACCTACACACATATAAATATTTTTTTTTAGTATAATTAAATAAATAAAATTCGATTACTAAATCATCGAGAATACTTTTTCTAATGAATTAATGCAAAAAACAAAAAGAAGGATTTNCTAATGAATTAATGCAAAAAACAAAAAGAACAGAAGTATATAACAAAATTTGTCAATGATGGTTGAAAACTTTGAAAGCTCATAACTTTTAAACTGGACTTTGCCGACAAATTTTTTTTATTTATTCTTAGTCAGTATAAAAAACTGAATCAATTAAAAAAAAAAAATTTGAAAAAACTCGATGGGGTGGTAAAATACATTTAAGCCACGCTTTTATCAACCATATACGATTCTCATTTATTATCATACCCACATAATTTCAAATACATTCTTAATAACCATAAGTCTACAATCAAGATTCCATCGCCATAAGTGAATATCAGGTAAGAGTAGTTTTAATACACTAACTACAATAATAATGTAATAACTAAAAGCAAAGTACTTGTACTATTATGTCTTTACGGATGATGCCATTATCATTCTTCTTTATTAATACCATCCCCGTCAACTTTATTTTTAATTATTACAATACCGCCCTGTCAGAGTAGATCCTCCGCTCTATCTAGAAACTCTCGTGGGTCCTCTTCGTTTCTTCCGTAATATTCAGGTAAGCAGGCGCGTACGGTGCGCAGGTCGTGGTAAGGTACCGATACAGACGGCGAACTGCGGGTAGGCGACAAATCATTAGACAAAACATAAGTGTTGCGTCGGGTCCGAATGTAACGCGATGCGCGTCCGATCGTCGACTATCATTTCGTTCAACGTTAACTTGTTGAATTGTCGTTTAGCAACATATGAGGAGGGCATCATATTTTGACTGATTCCGCTCCACCATGATTGAAATCTGTCGCAGTTCCATTGACAAACCCGATAGCGACCTTTCTAATTCAGTCATCCGTGCCTCGATTCGCGCATTATTGTCGCGAATGTTCTGTCGGATCATCTCGACTTGTTCTGCCGCGTGCGCTAACGAGCAGGCAACGTACACGTCCTGCACGTACGATTTCTTCTTCGCTGACACGGTCCGTGGAGTTGTCGAAAACCCCCACTTCAGGTTTGCTGACCGGAATTTCGCTATCGAGCGGCGTACGGGGTGGTAAAATTTCAGTAGATGGATTCCTCCCTTCTCTAAGTAGGTTTCCTCTAGCATAATTAGCATGTTGGGTTTCGTCGCATAGCATGGTAGCTGTTTAAAAGTGCATTCACGGCGTAATTCAGCACAATTCATTTGTGCAAATGATTTCCCCGACATATTGAACATGAATATTATGTTTGTTACACGCAATATAATTCAGCGACACAAGTGAAACAACCGAAGTAAATAATTAAATATTATCATAATAAATTATAATAATATGTAAATAGCGTTAATTCAATCAGTTAGGTATGGGTAATAACCAAACAGAACCGAAAAAAACAAAATAGCAAACCAGTTAAGGTGTACGCATTTTTATATATTATATATAATATATTAAGTTTTATATATTATATACTGTTTTATTACAAATAATTACTAAATCTTTTAATTACATAACCTATTACATTCAACAGGACTCATTATTATGGCAAGCCTTTGTATAGGTATTTAAAAAAAAAATAGAAATTTTAATATAAAAGTAGCATGTTTTTTTATTATGGCAGCCATTTGTAGAAGAAAAGTCGTTGGGACATTTTTTTTTAAACTTATATTACATAATGTAAGCTTTAATTTAACATATATTTAAAGGTCGCAGTATTTCAGACATATTTTTAAAAGTTATGTTGAAAAAGATGAGTTTTTTAATCACCTCTTGTGAGCAGATAAGGTGTCAGATTTTCAAAAATATAATATCAAATAAAAAAAAATCACTTAAGGTTTCAATATAAAAAAAATTGATTTGTTCATTTTTCAATAAGTTATGGCAATTTTAAGAAGAATTTTAGATTTTATTTATTTTTTTAACATCCACTTATATTAAAAATATTTTGTTAGAGACACATATATTCACATTACACATAGCTTCTAATGCTAAAAAAAATTGAAAATAATAATNATTTTAAGAAGAATTTTAGATTTTATTTATTTTTTTAACATCCACTTATATTAAAAATATTTTGTTAGAGACACATATATTCTAATACTTAAAAAAACTAGAATATGATTTTTTNTCTAATGCTAAAAAAAATTGAAAATAATAATTTTTTCTTCAACTATACATCGTATAAATAAAAAGTTTCATTCTTATCTATGTCATAAAGAAAGCCGTGTTTAGCATACGCGTTTTTCATCTGTTCAAGACTTTCATTGAAGTTAACTTCTAAGAATTCGTAGTGTTCAAACGTTTTTGGTAATTTATTATCTGATATATATTTGTCTAAATCGTCTATACTTTTATTTACACAATAATTGTATTCATCAATGTTGTAATTATTTACTATTTTTTGCAAATTATTATTATACATTTTGTACGTTTCTTTGAAATTATAATAAATTCTGTTCACATATAAATTATTATCTTCATTTCTTTCTTTTTTTACTAAATTAATAAAAATGTTTAATTCTTTTAAAACATTTGTTTTAATATTGACATTGAACAATTTCCTTAGGAAATGTATTGCACTAATATAACGTGTAATAAGTTCTTTGGATTCATCAATATATGGAATTAATGAATCCACACACTTCGTGTAATCAGTAGGGTACAGCATATTTGCATTACAAAAATCAGTTATACATTTTACGTGATTTACGATCAATGCTAAACTTATTGTGTACTCATAATTGATTAGCCTCAATGTATCACTCATTTTTATATGAACATTTTTTTTAGTGACGATGTTACCTTTAGAATTGTTCTTTAATAATAATTCACATACGCTAAATGTATAGTCATCGTCAAGATCATGCACAAGATCTGTATTTGGTAATAAGTCCCAATTATTTTCTTGTAAAAATGAATTTAAAAAATTGATTACATACCCTTCATCATATTTTTGCTGGCTATTCGTCGCGTTGACTACCAAGATAAATATTAAAATATTATAATTCATTGTTATTATGTAATGATTTATTACATAATTATAAAAAAACTAAATAATTTTTTAAAATATGTATAAATGTTTTAACATGAAATTTATTTAAATTAAAAAATTAGAAATTTTTTTAAAAATCGCAAAATTTACTAGTTGATTAAGCGATGGCCTACTATATAATGTACAATAAACCACGTCACAAGTTGTTGACACGTCACACGTTGCTATTAACAGTGTATTAAATTCTTTATAATAAAATTTTCTCTAAAAAGCAATATTAGTTTGCTTCTATTTTGTTATACACAACATTCTGAATTTTAATGTCTTTACTATCAAAATAATTATTTATTCCAATAAAATTATTGATAATTAAATTTTTGTTAATTTTTCAATTTATAAAATTCATCATTTTAGATTTCCAAATTAAAAAATAAATCGTCTTCAATTTCTTCTTCTAGTGACAGAAGAAATCTTTTTGATTTTTCATATTAAGAAATCCTGTATTTATATTTTACATTTTTAGTGAATTGATAATAATTGATAATAGTAATAAGCAAGAAAAAACGTATTTTCTGCGACTTTAAATGTCATAGGTAACATTAATTTTTAAGCAAAAACAAATTTTGTTCACAGAAACACATGAACCGATGAAATGATAATAATTAAAATAATAATATACGTTATGGTAACAAAAGTTAAAATGTATAATTTCGTTTATACAGTACAAGAATCACTCGGTTTTGATATATTTTGAAAGTTAAATTAAGTAAGGATAGCAGCTATTACACTCATTAGCGTGGGGAAAAAAGTAATTAGATAACCTATTTTATATTTCAGGGCATTTCATATGAATGACCTAGAATAATTAAATATTTTGGTATTACTTTAGTAACATCTAAGAGTAGTAATTTAAGAGATTTATTGGGTAACCTTAAAGATAATGTAGAAGAAGGGCGAAAATCAGGCATTTATAAAATTAAATGTGAATGTTAAACAAAAAGAAATATAGGGCCAGATTTAAAGATTACATAAGAAACATTAAACATTTATTGACACATAACACTCCATTAAAACCATAAAACTAATTAAAAATGTAAATAATTACAATGAACTTAATATTAGGGAGGCAATAGAAATGTTTATAAATAAAAACAATTTAATTAATTGGGATCTTGGCCCACTAAAAAATTCATTATTAAACTTGTGTAAACTGGCAAAATGTGAAAATATTACTTAGTGATGACGTCATTGGGTGATAAGGTCACTAGGGGTATATAAAGGAGTTTTTCTTGTTGGGCTGTCAGTATGTGTTTAGCGTTGATAATGGTAACATTATTTCCGAAATACGTATCCGCGACTTTTCATTAATTTTTTGTGGCTTTGAGTTTAATATTTTTTAAATTAATAATTATTTTAATATAGTTTTAATTTTACTTAATTAATTAGCCACAAGTGATCAATTATTATTATATGTTCCGAAAATACTGCGACCTTTTTGTGATTTATTTCATTATTATATTTTGTGATATTATTTATTATAATCAGTCACCCCAGTATACATAAATGTTGTTATAACTATTTGATGTATCGAATGAATCAATTTTTGTATAAAAGTTGTAATAAATAATAATTTTGTATAAAAATGTGTAAAAATTAAACTTATACTCCATAACATTGTCAACTATTTATATTCTATAATTTTTTTTCTACGATCGCTCTATTCTAAATTAAGTACAAAATACTAGAAAATTACCCCTGTTGTCCATTTTTCAACCCCGAGTAGGTACGGGTTAAACTTGTCTGATTGACATGAAATTTTTTTGGTTCGTTTTTACATGTACATAAACAAATTTGGGGGGTGAGACCAAGGAATTTTTAAAAGAAATTTTTCATAATCTATAACTAAGGACCACTCTAATATATATATTGTAATAAACAAAAAGATATAATTATGGATAGTATGTGGTAAACAAAAAGAAGTAAAAAGGATATGGTGTGTTGTGGCAAAGGAATGTTGTTAAGTGTGTTTGGGGTTCGGAGTGTGAAAGGGAAGAAATGTAACACAGGTGACCAATAAGGAAATAATAACCGTAGCGGGCGTAGTGTAAAAAGGATGGGCACCAATGGAAAGTAAAAGTGGCTATAGATACCCGGTAGTGACTACAATAAAATGAAATAGAAAGGGATCTCGGGGTATGTATGCTTGTGTAAAGACGTCTAATGCATAAATAAAATGGAATTACAAAGAAGGGTCACTACCTAGCTCCTGCACAGAAACGCGTACACTAATTTCCGGCGAGTCACAAGTATCGTATTTTTTTATAAAGATATTTTGGTTTATTCTCAATAACCTATCCTGTTCTAATTGTTTATTACTAAAAAAATCTTCAGTAAAGGATCTATTATAGATTTATTTTGTAAACAAATGTTCCACTTACCTCTGACTATCCTGATATTCTCTTGAGATGAATGATGTTGTTGATGTAACAATTATCGATGTATACGTTTACGCATTAATGTACGCAATTATATTTATACGGTTTATATTATTATTAACTCGCGTGTAACTACTTTTCTAGTACAATTCTATATTAAATCTACCCAAGGTGAAGTCTAAGTTTATTATAACTCTGTCTTTTGTAAAAACCTTTTGTATATTTATGTAGTATAGTCCTTAACCTTGTATATGGTGTTTTACCTTATTATATTTATTATTTCATAATTTATAAAGNCTTAATATATTTATTATTTAATAATTTATAAAGCAAATAAATAACTTCTAAACAACATAACTGTCCTGTGCAACAAACTATTTCCAAGTGGCCTACGTCTTTTCAGTCGTCCAAAGAGTGATCTAGGGTAGATGCGAGCTCAATTTCGATTCTTTGCACAATAGATTATACTAGTGTCCTACACTCCAATTGCCCGCACTGTGGCTGAGATTAGACTAGCTGGTCGATAAGCGAAGAGACACTTTTGGTTGTTTAGTATAATGTTAGTTATAAATATATATTAGTAAAATATTAATTTTTAGTATAATATTTCGACTCTAATTTATTTGTATTTCGTAGCTGGATATACCAACGCGAGATCTCAAATAATATCTTTGTCTTTATGCAAAGAACCTTATGATATGTGGCCTACTTCTTTTCAATCACCTGTAGGACGACCTAGGTTAGATGCGACTGTACTATAGATTTATGCACGATAAGTTATGTTAGTGTCCTACACTCCGATTGCCCGCACTGTGGCAGAGATCAGACTAGCTAGTCGATAAGTGGAGAGACACTATGAAGAAATCTTATGGTTAACTAAAATTCTAATTATGATATTATTGTACTATTACCCTGTCCAGCCAGGTTGTGGCCCTTCAATAAATAGTAGATACAACTCAATCAAATTAAGTACCTTAGAATATCTAATGTATATTACAAAATAATATTAATAAGCTATGCGTTATAAATTATATAAGTGTCCTACACTCCGATTGCTCGCATTGTGGCAGAGATCAGACTAGCTGGTCGATAAGTGGAGAGACTTTGAAAAAAATCTTAAGATTAACTAAAAATTCTAATTATGATATTATTGTACTATTATCCTGTCCAGCCAGGTTGTGGCCCTTCAATAAGTAATAGATACAATTCAATCAAATTAAGTACCTTAGAATATGCTTACATATATATAAATATAAATANGGAAGCGAAGCCGCGAATTTGGGGGAAAATGGCCTTTTTATAGCACGCAAAACTGGTTTAGCGATCTCTGGTGAGATTCTTGAAATATTTTTTGCTGTATTTGATTGGTTAATGTGATAGAATCTTTTATGTGGGCGTTTTATGGAATGCGTAAGAGGGAGGTTAAATTTTGTGTAAGGGTATTATTTTATTACTCATCTTATCAACGGGGAAACACTGATTTGGTGATATATTTTATTAAATATAAGTATTAATTATTACATGTATTAAAATATGATACTACAATATTAATTAGTAAAATGTATATTTATTAATTGTATATTTATAATTTTGATAACCATTTAATTGTATTGATTAAGATTTATGATCGTCTCAATAAAAAGTGCCATAGGGTGGTTTAAAAAAATATATACAATAGAGTGACTATTTAAAAAAAAAAATAAATGACAAGTTTTTACTCCCCTCCTAAAAATGATTGGATTTTAAAACATAGTTATAATAATTATAAATATAATCAAATTAATTTTAAAAATTAGAATACTGTTTCTTTACAAATAGTAAAATAATTCACTTTTTATAATTAAAGTATTTAGTAATAGTAGATAAGAAATGTATGTTTAAAGACAATTTGATATGGTCATTAGAGGGCTGCATTTCAACCCAACGTAACCTCCAAAAAAATAACTATGATACAAAATAATAAATGTTTTTATTTATTTCCACGTACTCACAAATAAGTAGTTAATGTCAAATTTGAAAATGTAATCACATCTAAATATTGGGTATTTTAATAGTTTATGTATAAGTAATGATATGTGTTTTTATTAGTATAATTAATATGTGTATTGGTTAAGTAGTTAAACATTCTTGCGACACAGTCATTTACGCTAATGAGTAATCTTTAATGCATCTTTCTAATTAAATCATACACGAACATGTTTAAGTCTGTCAATGATTAGTCTAATTGGTCGGGGTAGGATTATAAATTATCAGAAATTTGTGAAAATATTTAGCACCAAAAAGGAAAGTGTAGTATACGAGAGTAAATGCTATGTAATTAATGATTTAATAATCGATTATGATACAATTAATGAGTATTTTTTTGTATAAATGAACGTTGAAACTCCGATAAAGTTACATCGTCTTCAAGAACTTTCAGCAACTCTTCTAAATGAACAATATGGCCGCTGTTTGTATGAGAAAACAACGTTATGTTTATGTTGCACCGACACCGCCAGTCGAAATGCTCGACTCAAGCAGTTATACTATTTCGTTCAGTGATAGAAAATTTTTACAACTGGGATTGAATCCAAAGGAGGACTTCGATATTTCGGTATATATTATTACTCCTTCACGATATATTAGCATGTCCGCAGAATTTTTAAATATTGTTTACGGCATGATGAATGAAATAAATCTATTTTTACAATCAACTCCTATGAGGAGCGAAAACAATATTTTTTATCAAAATGATTGTTTCAAACTATCTAAAGTATTATATGGTGATACAAAACATTTAGTATTAGAATCAGTGACACTTGATGGATGTCGTGTGTTATTAAATAATGAAAACATTCAGGTGCTTAAGCAATCGGAGTATACTATTAACAATGGCATTACATGAAAATTAAAATAGCGTATGCAAGTAATACATCAAATAGATCGTATTGTGCAATATGCCGACGGTAAATGGACAGGTCTTAGAACTCAACAATCACCCAATGGTGAAATGTATAATTTAATAAGAAGTATGAACGATTTAACACTCAACGAAACTATCCCAAAAGTTGACAATAGCTACCTAAGTGAGTTGAAGAATGTAGCATGCGATGAAATAGTCGATCGATGGGTCAAGTCGTGGTCCGAGGACACGTATCAAATCAATGTAAGTTTAATGAATATAAATTATCATTACCTTTATTGTCATTAAATTTATAATTTGTTTTAGGAAAAAGAAGAAATGTATGACGAAAATGACGGACCGTCATTTTTCAACGAAACCCAAGAAAATAGTTATAGTTCATGGGCTTCTCAGTAGCCAAAACCAAATCACGTCAGAAAATTAACTTACATTAATAACTTATAAACAATAATTTTATATATTGTACTAGTTTCTTATAATAAACTTATAATCTAAAATAAAAAACAAAGTGTTGTTATTTGTATATAATATATTTATTTCATAATAATAATAATAATAATTACAAGGTTAATAATAAATGTTTACATAAACGTGTAAAAAAATTTTTAATTAAATTATACGGACAGTTCCGTCAAAAGGTGTATATGTAAATACACTGTCTGAAATTACTAGAGCATCTGCAGTTGTATTAGCAGGGAACGCTGGCTGATGCTTCAATTTCAATACTTAGGTCAAAAGACGAGACTGTAATTGTATCGTTCTGCTTTGACATGTCGATTACGGCAATAGGTATTAAATTAAGAAATTGTTTTTTATTTACTAAAGGCGAACACCAAGGTCTATCATAATAACTCTTTTGAAAATTAACATAGAAGGAAAATAAAATACTAAATAGTTTACAGTCAAAGTTACATCTTAAATCGTTGTACGGGTAAACTTCTGAATTTAAATGGACTTTAAGATTTGTTAAATTACAGTGATCGAATTCAGACATTGATTTACTTTCACTATTTTTACGGTCTGTTTGAAACCCTACTATAACATAACGGGGTTTTTGAAAATTATTACATGTTTTAACGGTCCACGAAAACGATTTTTTTTGTGGTATAAACGGATATTTACACAATTCCCAATTTCTATGAGCGCAATGTATAGGCTTTTCACTATCTAAAACTCTAATTAATTTTAATTGTTCCTTTTCGGTCACTTTGACGATTGGCATATTCCATACAACTTTTGTTAGTTTAATTGATACTGTAGACAGTTTTTCTTTTGCTGCGGTACTCGTGTCTAATAGCTTGACAACGTCAGTATCACCAGAAGTTCCCGTGCTGTATTTAAGTTTTTCAGAGGACTCGTTCACATCGAACAATTTGATTACGTTAATGTCTGAAGAACTCCTCGTACATATTAATGATTGCGTACAGTTTAAGAGTATTTTTTTATAATCTTCGGCAAACCCTAGTATATGCGACAGCAGTATAATCCCAGAAAAATATGTACAGTCGAAAAAGTTCTTATTGTCTTCAGTAGTAATGTCCCATGCTGCAGTGTGTAGTTCGTTAATATCAGCGGGGCTATATGAGCAATAGCCTTTCAAAGTAGATGTAATGCCCGGGTTGCGTACTTTTTGTATTTGAGTACCGTTTATTTCATAACGTATTTCAGAAAATAAATATGCGAGTCTGTTGTTAATAAATCTAGGACTGGACTTCATACCATCAGGTTTTTTTCACTTCACCTTCCAAGTACAAATAACTGGCACTTGGTAAAGTGTAACTGTCCATGTTGCGAATTTCAAATCGTATTTCATCATTTTTACCTAGCGCAGTGGAGCTATACGGCAAAAATGATTGTACCTGTTGACTAATTATTTTACACTGGTCCACATAACTTTCCGTCACGTCTAAGCATAAATCGTCCATAATTTCAAAGAACGATTTTAAAAACGATAAATGACGTTTGCTAACGGACTTATTCGTTTTTTCTTTTAGCGGCGATTTTCTCACGGCTTTCTTTTTAGGTAAATATAATGTTGTCTCTGCTCTGGGTGACTGTGAACTACGTATTGGTCGACGAACACTTGAATATATATTATTATTAAACTTAAGAGCCATGGTTCTATGTACGAATGTGAAGGCGGAGAGTTAAAGTTTCCCTTCTCAAATCAACTATTTTACCAGATTGAGACCGTAATGTAACTTCAGCGTTGTATACGGTGGTTGTGTTTAGCGGATAATAAACTAACGATTTAGGTACTTCTATAATTTTGTATCCTGCTGGGACAGAAGGAAAAAATGCATGGATCGCTTTGCTTGATTGTCCATTATCATATGAACCGGTCGCTATATTACACTCGAATATATAGTANTGCTATATTACACTCGCATATATAGTATTAACTTGTAAAATATCAGCAATGTTTGTTGAAACATGACGTACATTCGGGACATGACACTTAACCAGTTTCGTGAATTTTGTCATTCATGTTGGAACGATAGTAAATTTAGTTTTGTAGTAATTAACAAAGATAATCCGCGAAATGAAGGCAGGTATCGTAAATGTTTCGATACTTTCGCAATAATATAATGTCGTGTAATAACGGGATTTTGTCAGTAATCGATTAACAATGGACGGAGAATCTAATAACGAAATATTGAGACAATTAGCCGAGGCCAAGCAAAATATTAAACGAAAATTCCAATCATTTCAAAACGATGATGCTGCTAATGAGGTTTACATGAAACGTACATTAAAACCCATTATTGAACCTTTAAATGAGCTTACAACACTTCAGAAAGAGAAAACATCGCATATTTTAAATTTTACTAATAAATTTGATAATAATAACGAGTAGTTAAAATATAAACAAAACCATGATGGTAACAATTATAAAAACGATGAAAATAATTCTATAGTAACTTAGCTGCATAATCAAAGCTATAATATTGAAGACGCTAATTCTAGTGGAAATTCTGAAAACCAAATATTTTCTATGATGGACTCGATTGAGGCATGGCTAGTTTATCGTGACGGGGACAAAGCGTATGCACCGAAAAAACACCGGGATTTAATAAAATTTGGTGATAAAATTGATCAGTTTAATTATAAAACAGCTCAGCTGATCATAAAAAATAATATATATCAATTGACCCCCGGTCTAATACAGTTAATATTTTCAAAACGGCGTAACGCATACGATAAAAATGACTTGGATGTCTATAGAGACATTCTAGTTCATACTTCTGCGCACTTAACAACGAATAAATTAAAAATTAAAAAAACAAATGGCTAAAAGTATGAAGAAGTTATAAGTAAATTGTTTGTCGAGAGCAAAGGTCTTGAGTTGTCATTGAATACATCGAATAACTATAAATATTGGAATAACGCAGACGAGCTCTGCAAACGTCTTAGATTACTAGCAGTACCCCTAAAATCAAAAAGAGGAGCTGATATAGTGAAAGCAATAGAACCTATACTTGCAAAACGTAATATCGTACACGTACAGAGCGATTTGGGTAAAGAATTCTATAACTGAAAATTTTCAACTCTTATGAAAAAATACAACATAAAACATTACTCAACGTATAGCACATTAAACGCCTCAATTTGTGAGCGATTAATTCGAACCATCAAGACCAAATTATATAGAGAGTTTATCGCTCAAGAATCACACAATTTGTTATCTATATTAAACAAAGTTACGCACGAGTACAACAACAACGTACATAGAACGATAAAGATGACTCCTACGAAATATTCTTGATAAAATAATGTTTCATCGGGAACATTTATGACAGTCCAATAAAAAACCAAAGTACAAGAAGGGATAGAAGAATAGGAGCATCCCCATGCATGTTAAAATTACCTTATTTTAAAACAATTTTTAGATATGTCTGAGAAAGACTACGTTCTTAAAACTTGTTAACTTCGATGTGAAGCTGAGAAGGTATTAATTTTAGTATGATGTGTTTTTTTTATGTCTGTCGCCAAAAGATACGTCAAAAGATCGCAAGTTGGGTCTAGTTGAATACATTGCCTTAAAAGTTGAAAGAATTTCCTTCGTTCCTTGTAAATGGGTGAAAAACCTCCAAAAAAAAATACAATTTTTAAATTTGATAATTAATAGCCATATTACACCTTCGCTAAAAAAAAAATTAACTACATTGTAGCAATATACAAATATACAAATTACTAATGAAATACATTTCAGAATTAAATTTAAAATTAAAAGGATCATGGTTCCTCTAGTTAAAAGTAACACGTGAAATTAACAAAAATATTTTAATATGTTACAGAATGAATTCGGGTTGACAGAAGATCAAGTTGCAGGTAATTTTCATTTTATCAAAATCTTACAAGAAAACTATATTTCATATACATATTTCATGTATAAATTTAATTGATGGCACACATAGCCCATACAGAAGAAAATTTTTGGTAGATAAAACCGTAATCAACGCATCTTTTAGTAAAAGGGAAGGTGAAACATTTGAATGGAAGCAAAATTAAAAACTATTTCAATAATATAGAAAATTCTTATCTAATAATAGAAGTCAAGGAAATAATGTGCTATTGTATTATAAAGACAAGTTATTTATATTTTTAAAAGTAATTGTTGAGAAAAGTAACAGGATATCATATATATCATAAGTGTTACAACGTGTGTAAATTTTACTCAATATTTTATATTTTGCTAATGAAAATTTATTTACATATAAAGAAATAATAAGAAACAAAAAAAATATTGTTTTCAAATTATTACTGATTTTGATATGTTAATTTTAATGATTTACTTCAACTAAAAATACCAACAAAAAAACATAGGTGTTAAAACGATCTACTCAATACAGAGTATTATAAAATTTGATTATAATTGAAAAAATCAATTGTTAAATTTAGATGAAACTAAAAATTATTTTTTTTTAGAAATTATTCATACAGGATGATTTTTTAATCATAACCCACTCAATTACTTACACAGTAATAGTAATTTAAACATTTTTGTTTTTTGATTATCTTCAATTACACATTATTCTTGAATTATTAACTACGTAATACTTTTTAATTTCATCCCTTAGGCCTGGTAAGAGTGTCAACTTAATTTTTTTAAATGGTAACACATATTTTTAATTTAATAAAATGTTTGAGTTTTTAATTTAATAGTAAATGGCACTTGAATTTTCAGTATAACTTTATTTGTTTATTAGATATAAACATTTAAAGTTTCAAATTTTTGAGTTAATATTCATGTATAATACACAAGGGATTACTTTAAATGTTTAAATCTAATAAAAAAATAAAGTTATATTAAGAATTCTAATACCATTTACTATTCGATTAAAAACTCAAACATTTTATTAAATTTAAAATATGTGTTCCCATTAAAAAAAATTTTTTTGACACTTTTACCAGAGATGGGAT